CCTCCACTCTTTTACAGCTCAGGAGTCCCTAACTAGGGAATGATGCTACCCATAGTGGGTGATTCTTCCCAACTCAATAAATACATTCAAAGATACTTCCTCACAGACACGTCTGTGGGCCAAACTGATCAGCCTCCTTGGGACTTCCTGGATTTTTTTAGATTTTGTCAGTTGACAATTAAGATGATCAAAGTGGGGTTACAAAAGCTTTCTCCGATGAAAGATGTTTGAATATTTGAGTTGGACTTTAAATGGATCACAGTCATAAATAAAAGTATACATCAGGGTAGCATGCAGAAAAAAAAATGTATTATTTCCTGAAACTGTAAGATAAAGAAAAAAATCTTCCGGGCATGGTGGCACACACACTTAATCCAAGCTTTCAGGAGGCAGAGGCAGGAGGATCTCTGTGAGTTTGAGGTCTACTGTTGTTAAAATACTAGTTAAAGATGTATTACATCTGTTTATGCTGTGGAATATTTATTTAACGATGCAAAGATGTGTTGCATTCTTTTATGTTGCATTTGTTTAACTCTGAAGCTATGTTACTTCACTTTACTTGAAGCTGTGTTAAAACACCTGATTGATCTAATAAAAAGCAGAACAGCTAATAACAAGGCAGGAGAAAGGACAGGTGGGGCTGGCAGGCATAGAGAATAGATGGGGGGAAAATCTGGGAAGAGGAGATTGAGGAGCAAAAGAAAAAAAAAGAAGAGGAGGACATCAGGGGCCAGCCACCCAGTTACACAGCAAGCCACAAAGTAAGAAGTTAAGAAAGGTATATAGAAAGACAAAAGCCCAAAAGCAAAAAGTAGAGAGGATAACTTAAGAAAAGCTGGCTAGAAATAAGTCAAGCTAAGGCCAAGCATCATAAGACTCCATCCACAGAGTGAGTTCCAGAACAGCCAGGGCTACATGAAGGTGGGGACAACAGCCTCCTCTTGATATTTTAAAGAGAAATATTTTCAAAAGAGAGAGAGAGATGGAAAATATATTTGAAGAACTTAGAAAGCCAAGATTCACAAAAGAAAGATGATCTTAAGGGAACAGTGCACAGTAATTTTCAATTTGATACCAACCCTGGCTGTTTAACACAAGCCTAAAACACTGAAAATAGTCAAAGAGTACCAAATATTGCTGTGATGGTGATGACAAGGATGATGATAAAAGATACTTTAGGGGATGGAAGGATGTCTCAACTGTCAAGACCACTTGCTGCTGTTCCAGGGGACTTGGATTCAGTTCCTAGCACCCTATAGCAGCTCACAACTATCAGCAACTCCAGCTCCAGGTAGATCTGATGCCCTCTTCTGGCTCTGATGGTAGTGCAGGCCCATGGTACACATACATGCATGTAGACAAAATATTCATAGCCATAAAATTTAAAACTGAAAAAGGGGGGTGCACGCCTTTAATCCCAGCATGTGAGAGGCAGAAGCAGCAGATCTTTGTGAATTTGAGGCCAGCCTGGTCCACAGAACGAGTTCCAGGACAGTCAAGGCTATACAGAGAAACTAACAACAACAACAACAACAATAATAATGATAAACAACAATAATAAAAAAGGTACTTTGTGCTCTGGGTACATACCCTCAATTTAAGTTTTGATGCTACTTTTCTACTTTCAAGTTTTATTAATATTTATTTTCTGTTCAAACACACGTTGGGGGACACAGATGCCACAAAGTGCATGCTGAGGTTGGAGGACAGTTTGCCAAAGTTCTCTCCAGTCACATAGATCTCAGGATTGAATTCAGGTTGTCAGGCTAAGGAGCAAAAGCTTTCACCCCCTGAGACTCACCAGCCCTGCTTTTATTCTATTTAATAAAGACGACACATAGTCAAACCCACCAAGAAAATCCCTCCTTTACTTTTACTTTTTTTAAAAAAATATTTATTTATTTATTATGTATACAATATTCTGTCTGTGTGTATGCCAGCAGACCAGAAGAGGGCACCAGACCCCATTACAGATGGTTGTGAGCCACCATGTGGTTGCTGGGAATTGAACTCAGGACCTTTGGAAAAGCAGGCAATGCTCTTAACCTCTGAGCCATCTCTCCAGCCCTACTTTTACTTTTTAAAGGGTAGGGAAGATGTTTAAAAAAAAAAAAAAGATACCCAAAATGCTCACATTGTGTAGGAGTCACTTGACATTCCTTAACTTTTACTAAAAATACTGACAGGCTTGAAACCATGCAGAAACATTGGCAACAGTCCAGAAGTGGAATTCAACTACACAGCCGCTGATGAGCCGCATGGGAATAGCAAAGCTCAAGTCATAACCCTGCCAGCATGCCCCACATGTACATAAGCAGGTCACAATTCTGTAAAGTGTATTTATTTATTTATTTATTTATTTATTTATTTATTTATTTAATGAAAGAGAGGGAGAGAGAGACAGTTCAAGTGGCTGCACGGAGGTCAAAGAAAAACTCCTGGGCATGGTTCTCTCCTACCAATTTATAGGATCCAGGATTCAAACTCAGGTCGTCAGCCTATGTACAAGAACCTCTATCTGCTGAGCGATCTCACTCATCTTATTTTATCATTTATTGATTTATAGGGGTTTTGAGACAGGACAACTTGTGAGTGCATCCTTATGAGTGCAACAGAACTCAGGCAAGCGCCTTTAAGTTAGGCCCTCTTGCTGGCCCCAAAAAGTTTTATAAAAGAATAAAGTAAGCGAATAAACTTATCCAATGCAATTTTCCAATTTATTAAAAGTTAAAGTTGAATTTGTCCTTTTCATGGAAATTGTTGTTTATATTGGGTTTGTTTGTTTTGTTGTTGTAGTTTTAGATTGTTGTTTTTCTTTTGAGATAAGGTTTCTATGTGGCTGTCCTGGAACTGGAACTCTCTCTGTAAACCAGGCTGACCTCAAACTCACAGAGATCTGCCTGCTTCCGCCTCCCGAGTGCTGGGATTAATCACCATCATCACCCACCTGTCTGTTTATATTGTATACTGAATTAAAAATTTAGCATAACTCTCTGGCTTTGCGCCCACTTACTCCCACAAGTCCCCTGCCTTCTGCACTCATATTTTTTTAAAAGATTTATTTATTTTATGTATGAGTGCTCTATCGACTTTAGGCCAGAAGTGGGGCATCAGATCCCACTATAGATGGTTGTGAGCCATCATGTGGTTGCTGGGAATTGAACTCAGGACCTCTAGAAGAGCAGCCAATGCTCTTAATTGCTGAGCCATCTCTCCAGCCCCCTGCACTCATATTTATGGCCATCCAAGACAACAAAAACTAGTAAAAGATGATCTGGAGTCCATATTGTTTTTTTCTTCTATCCACTAGAGAGTGACAGTTCTTGGGTGTGTTCTACTAGATAAGGGAACTGTGTGTCATTATATTCCTAGGTCTCACATTCCTGAGTCCAGTGCCACCTGGGAAGTATACTCTTCCGGAGTTTTGCATAGTCTCAGAGCTCTACAATAATAAATCTAATCTAATCTTAAGGCGTTTACAGCATCCCAAAACATAGTGTGTGTGCGTGTGTGTGTGTGTGTGTGTGTGTGTGTGTGTGTGTGTGCATGCGCCAAATCCCTTGAAACAAGGCAAAGAGTTCAACAGGTACAACCACAAATAGAAATATAGTGCCAAATACATAAGAAACAAATCAACTAACCTGTCCCCAAGTTTGATATTATCATACATTGCAGTTGGCATCAAGGAAAGTCTCTTATTCCTCACCTTCAGACCTATACTGTTTGTTGGCAAACTGAAAACCTGTCACCAGAAAGGCAGTGATAGTGCACACCTTTAATCCCAGCATTCGGAAAGCAGATCTCTGAGTTCGAGGTCAGTCTGGTCTTCAGAGTGAGTTCCAAACAGGCTCTAAAGCTGCAGAGAAACCCTGTCTCGAAAAGCCAAAAACCAAAACAACAACAACAAAAAACTGTCCCCATCTCAGCCCTTTCAAATGTTCTAAGCTATGCTTTTGTGCCTTCATTAAGGTCTTTTAGGCTACTTGCATGACCATCAAATGTTCCCCCAACTTCTCCAGAACCGAGGGAATCTTCATCCCTTAATATCCAGCTCACATGATCTAAGCCCTCATTTCGTATGACTTCAAGGGAGCTGTCCACTCCTCAAGTATTTCTAAGAACCCTGGGAAATGCTCCTTACAAAATATATACAAATATATCCTATTTTTTGTTGCAAACTTATTCGAGACTATTATTGCTTCTTAAAAGTTCTCTTCCTTCTGCATGAAAATTATTCATGAACTCATTTTCCCAGAGGCAACCTCTTCACACATTTTTACAAGTGTAAAATTTTGCGATAGGCACCCTCCCAAATCTCAAAGTATAGCTAACATCACGTTTGTAAATTTCACTGCTGAACTCGAGATAACACTGGGGGGCGGAGACAAAACATTACTATTATTCTATTTTCCTAGAATTTCTGCTGAACTTTATCCAAGAATTGTCCACCAGCCACGGTGCTGCAGAAGGACAGATTCCTTCCTCAAGCCAAGAGACTTCTCCGCACTGCATTAAGCAACACTTTCCCATTTGTGTGTGCGTGTGTGAGAGACTGTGCCTATTAGAATACAAAGGCAGTTGTGTGTGTGGAGGTCAGAGGACGACCTCGGGGGCCAGTCCTCAGTCACTGTTCACCTTTTAACGGAAGGGGAAGCGAGGGGGGGAGGGAACTAGAGCAAAGCGAGGGGGAGGAGAGTAAGAAGGGAAAGGGCGATGGGAAGAGGAAGGACACAGAGAAAGGAGGGAGGCGGAAGTGAGAGCTTCAGTGTATTTTATCACTTTGTTGGAGGTGTTCGTTTCATCAACTTGTTGAAATCCCATGGCCAAACAACAAACCACATCAATCAAAACCAGAAGAAAAGGAGAACTGAGACCGGAACAGCTGTAACATCGTGAAGAACCAGGATGTGGCACCAAGCTGACCTCTGCTACTCCACCCAGAAGACGCTGTCGCGAATCCACGACTGCGCAGGCGCCGACCGTGCTGCCGAGGCGCCTTTAAAGTGTGCCCGGAAGTGACGCGAGTCGTGCTGGTCGCAAGCTAGGGAAGGGTTGAGCGAATCGCTGAGGCTAGCGGGCCCGGCGGGCGTCCTCGGCCACTATGAGCTGCACGATCGAGAAGATCATGACAGACGCCAAGACGCTGCTGGAGCGTCTGCGCGAACACGATGCGGCGGCCGAGTCCCTGGTGGACCAGTCGGCCGCGCTGCACCGGCGGGTAGCGGCGATGCGGGAGGCGGGCACCGTGCTACCCGAGCAGGTCGGGATGGGCCGGGCCGCGCCCTGGAGTGGGCGCGTCGGGGAGCGGGAGGGTGGGGTCGCCGTCTGATTTATCCTGGTCCGGAGGGCAGGGCGGGCGTGAGAGATTCCTGTGCGGTGGGTGGGACTGCTGCCGCCTCAGCAGAGCAGCACCTGCCTGTGTTTGCAAAGGCTTAATCTGTCTGTCTGTCCAGTATCAAGAGGATGCACCCGACGTGAAGGACATGTCTAAATATAAACCTCACATTCTGCTGTCCCAAGAGAATACCCAGATTAGAGACTTACAACAGGAAAACAGAGGTTAGTCGGGCCTCTGTGTGTGCGTTTGTGTACGATTCCCCCCCCCCCCGTGTCTGGTAATACTTTGGACGTTCTTACACAAGGGCCTGAACAGTTCACAAGCGTGCCTATCTCATGTCTATATCTAGGGTCAGCGCTTAAGTGGGTCATCTGGTAACAGTAAAATCTATTCGATTATTCTTTTTTAAGTCTTCTGATGACTTTGAAAGAGTTGTTTAGTAGAGTTGTTAGATGTCTAGGGGCGGGGTACATACCAGATGAAGGCTTACATAACTAAAGTTCAGAGTCTTAAATGTAATATTTCAATATTAATTAGAGTGAACACTAAAGTTAAGATTGGTTTTTTTGGGTTTTTTTTTTT